CATATTTTGCCAATCTTTCTTGCATTAATGTGACGAAACGTAAGCATCAAACGAACTTCCCTATCAAGGTAAAACTATTGCATTTCTCGTTCAGTTGAATTCCAGATTTATTTTCCCTTCATTGTTGCTATTATTTTTTGAGATTTTTTTCCTTCGCTAGAAATAAATCACACTAATATCCAAAAGACATAAATTTGATTGGTTTGCTTTTGTTTTTCCAATTATGTTTAGTGGAAAGAAGAGTATTCAAAGAATTGTAAGTTCTCTCTTTGCAATCTCCTATGGCTGTGAATATCTGTATTCCCTTTTTGCATTCGAAGGGGAAGAGTAGAAGAAGAACAAAAATGGTGTTGATAAGGTGAAGTAAATCTTCAAATAATAATAATAACAAAAACAATAAAAATAAAAAATCATTTTCTCCAGCGAAGTCTTCATCGCGAAAGTGTCAAAAAACACTATCTCTCTATAATTTTTATAGTTTTTGAATTGTTTAACATCAATTCTCCATTTTGAATAATTCTCTGTTTTGTATCTATTTTTTTGACAGGGCAAAAGTAGTAATTGTAATAATAATAATTCAAAAGCATTGGACAAATTAACTCCGCCACGAGAGAGTCTCAAGGATAAGAGCTCTACCAATACANNCAAGGATAAGAGCTCTACCAATACAGTACCAAAACTTCCAGCTACTGCCTCCATCTTTGACGCCACTCCCATAATTACAGAAGGCTAGAATTTATTTAATTTTTGAAATTAAACAAATTCATAATCTTTGTATGTGCTTCTAAAATGCAGTAAAATGTAGAAAACATAACGGTTAAATTTTTGGTTTCTTGTTTTATAATTTCAGGCACCACACTGGCAATATTTAACAAGTCAAAGAGCTCATCCACTTCCTAGAAACAACATCAAAGTCTGACAAACTTCGTAACTTTCACATAGGCTTTTCAATAAATTCCCGAAGGTAATTTATTTTTTCTTTAACTAGATTTTTAAATAATTTCAATATGAAACAGAGGTGTTGGTTTACAACATTAGGTAAGCTTAAAATTTATGTCTTTACTTGATAGAGTCATGCTATAAAACAATAATCGTAAAATTTATTTATTTCCATATTAAGAATTATGCTTTGAAAGAAGAAAGAGGGAAAAAAATAAAAACGCCTCCACATTTTTCAGATACACAATTTCTGAACAATTGTCTTAAAATATTTAAATCACTTAT